GGGAAAAAAAGGACACATCACTAAATCACTCAGTTAATACTTTTCACATGTGCTTTTTTTCATTCTTTGCTAGGGAAAAGTAGCTTCCAGAACATTTCAGGGCTGAATAAATTTGTACAGAGAAGTTCTGGGCACAGTCCTCGCCAAGCAGCTGGGCAGTCTGTTTAGCCCTAGTACCAGATGGCAAATGCCTCGCAGCCCATGGTAAGTACCTTGCCTGTGCCACTTCCTGACCCTCTTGCTGCTCTGCTAGTGGGAGGAGAATGGTGTGAAGAGAGTCTCCAGCTTTCAGACCCCTTACATGTCTGCGTGCTCACCTCGTTTCTTCTGACCACCCTGCGTGGTCTTCTATAAACATGCGAATAAGGTGTTGGTTACTTCCTGCTCAGGGCTGTGTGTTGTTCCTTGGCTTTCAGAGCTGCTGGGGACTATGGTGCTGAGGAAACAGGACACCACTGGAGAGGACAGCTCTGTGCCAAAGGAGCCTGCTTTCACCCATTAAGACCGTGATTCTTCTGACTTACAGAAGTAAGTCAGCTCCCTATCAGTCCCTTATCAGTACAGCTCCCTACTTTGATTATGCCAAAAACCAACCTCTGTAGCACAAAACCAGTAAGTTACCTATTTTTAGGCTCTGTGCAGAAGGAGCCTGCTTTCACCCATTAAGACCATGATTCTTCTGACTTTATCAGTGCAGCTCCCTACTTTGATTATGCCAAAAACCAACCTCTGTAGCACAAAACCAGTAAGTTACCTATTTTTAGATAGTTGTTTTTGGAGTATTTTTTTGAGAAAGATGCTACTTACTGTTACCACTTTGTTTTCTAGATCAATGCCCCCTGCCAGGCTGAATCCAAGCCCGGTATCTTCTTCTTTATGCAAAATTGTAACATGAATATCATCAAATTCCTAGGCAGAGAAAGAAATAATGTCAAAACTTTCCAATAGGTACGTCAAGATGATTGGAAATTCATCATGTTTTCTTTTTGGCCCTTGTGTATTTTATATAACAAGAGTTAGTGGCATAAGTGTAATACTGAGACATGTTTAGTATATTGTTTTGATCAAAATCACCTATTTTATAAAATGCTATTCTGTGTCTAAAATTGTTCTTGTTCAGTGAACAGGATATCAGTTGGTTCTGGACCATAAATTTAATGATATTAAAGAGTATAGATATCATGTATTGTAGAAACAGACAATATTGCTGAATTGTTTTAGAGGACCTTTTCATTGGAAAAGTGGTAAAATAATTTGGCATAGAACATACATGAATACAAGTGTCACAGCTAAAAAATTGCTTTTCATTCTTATTTTTATATTTTAACAATGTTCTAATAACAGGTAGAGTAAGCTGTCTCTATGTTATCTCAAAGCTGGGTTTGTATAGGGTAACAACTCCTATTTAACCTTGTTTCCTGGGGAAACATGGCTCTCTTGATCACAATTTCACAATCATATTCAGTATGTGAGCAGTTGTAGTTGCATCTTTTGATCTTGTGTCTTGTTTCCTTCCACAATTGAATCCTCTGGCCAGCTGCAACCAGGTATAGGGTACATGCTGCTCAGAGATTGTCCAGAAAATTCCATGAAAACAGACAAGTTGATATCAGAGAGACTAATGTCTCATTGAGGGCAAGGTTGCAACATAGCTTTTACTGCTAATCAGACCAAAAATGTCAACATGGGATATTGATAAGAGACACAAATTGATACAGAACTTGGCTTTCATAAATTCTGCTTGTCCAACTGCTTTTTGATTGCAAAATACCAGCAAAGTTTGATGTAGTCAGTAAGAATTTGCCTCTTACATGAGAATTTGTCTACCTGGTATTCTGACAGGCAAACATGAATTCACTGCTTGTGCTCCAGGCAGTACAGATACAAACTAGGACTAACCTGCGACATATACTACTGCAGTTAGCTAAGAGCCAAACTCTGTATTGGCTTAGGCTCATTTGTGCATTAATGCAGTTGTGCTGCTTTTGCACAGCTTGGAGTGCCTTAATACAGCAAGCATGTAGTTGCCATCAGAAGCTGAACTGTTTTCAGTGCAGAGCTCGATGTTATCTGCTTTTTATCTCAGTGTGAGCAGTGTGAGTCTTTACAGTTCTGGAATGCACACTTTTAACCTTGTTTTTGACTTACTTATCCTGAGCTTTATTGTAATTCTAGATGAATCTAGTAAGACTAAAGCTTGCTCAGTATCCCAAAGATGAAGCATTGTGTATCTCAGATTGGCAACCCACACAAGAGGATGGCCTCCAAAATATCAGTGCTTACTTCTGCATATATTGACCTTACCTGCTGAATAACTGTTATCCTATTAGTTAAATGGGTATTACTCTTGCTTACTTATCTTTGAAGGCTTCTTCAAGATTTTTGATCAACACTGGTATATATTGAGATGACTGTTTTATTTGTTATAATATCAAGTTGTGAAGATTAACCAGACACATCTACTCCACAGCTTTCTGACAGTTGTGTACAAAAGGAAAAAGTAGATTTACCTTTAAGGTTGCTTCATCTAATGATTTGACTTCCTCTATAAGTTTTGCTAACTCTTCAGGGGAAAGCAGAGAGATGACGGACTGCCCTGACACACCAGACGCTTGAGGTGAGCTGCATTCCTGTTTCTCTTCCTCTTTCTCATTGTCTGCGAGGCTCACAGTATAATCTCTCAACTCAGAGAGGCTGTCCCATTGTGAGAAGAATAAAAAAGAAACATTAAGTTATGAAAGAATTTACAAAAGCACAGCACAAATAATTTTGGAGCAGTTGTCTTTTGATCTTATCAGCATTTAATTGGGGTGGTAGCTCCTATAAAAAGCGCTATAAATATATACAAATGTAAATTTATCATGTTAGCTTAACAGAAGTAGGATCTATCACATAAAAGAATAGGAATAATCTCTTGGCCCCAGGCAAAACCAAACTTAAATCTCCTTCATCAGGGAAATGCTAGAAATATTCCTCCTAAAGTAGGAGAAAGCTTGAAATACACGTGCTTATACAGTACAAATTAAAAATAAGTGTAACAGCCATGTGAGTCATTCAACCTTTGTGCTCTAAAAAGATTTTAATTTGGTCTGTAGTTTACTACTGTGTGCTACTACCTTAGAATATTAATCTGTCAGCAGATGAGCGCAAATGCTCACCAATGCTGATCTGCAAATCTGATTTTTAAATATGGTATCTTACTTTAGCGAAAACCCAGTGTCCAGGTGATGATTCTCACTTATGTGTGAGAGAGAAATCCCATCCTCCTCCACAGAGGACTGAGACAATGTGTCCGATGTGTCCCATGTGCTGTTTGCAGAAGAGGCTGGAGACTGAGGAAGGCAGAGCAAAGATTTCATTAAAGCAGATGACACTTGGTTGCTGATGGAGTAGATTTTGCTACACTTTTCATCGTATGTCTTCATCATCTCACAAGTCTGGGTAGCAGTAAGTGGGAAGCTTCGTGATCTTAGGCTGTGTGCTTTTGCCACCGGTACAAGATAGGAAGTTGCAATGGCTTCGGTAGTTAAGAGACCTAAGGAATTTTCAGTGTTGATGTTGTTGCTTTTCTCTGAGCCAGCTGCAAGGACCTCCCTGGGAGAGGAAGATCTATCCAGGCTCTTTGTAACCATTACCACAGATGACTTGGGCTGTTGTTGGCCATTTTCACAATGCTGGAGAAAGGCTTGTTTTAAATGGGCTGGAGCCACTTCTGACCCTGTTGCAGTGGGAGAGTGTTCTTTCTGGACCGATGGTTTCAGGCTGAACCTTCGGTGTGTCTTTTCAGGTGACTGTGGAGCACTCAAGGATTCAAATGAGCTTATTCTTTGTTTTATTGATGATCCCCTGGTAGAGACACGGGATAAGCTGGAGTGTAGTTCTCTGCTGGAAATACTCTCAAGGTCAGGAGGACTTTGGTCTGCCTGTGTTTTTAGATCTGAATTTGCTTTCCTCAGTCCTTTCAGGCTCTGGCGAAACCAGGCTGGCTTAGGTGCAACAGGAGGACCCTTTTTCACACTGTCATTTTCTTCTGGTTTGAGCACTTTTGAACCAACTATTTCTGATTCTGATTTCTTCAGAACTGTCTCTGAGCTGCTTTGATTTTGATTCTCCTTGTTTGTGTGGATGCCAGGTTGCAAATCTAAGTGGACGTTATCTTCGCTCATGGTAGGATTAAATAAACTTTTTATGCAGTCAGAAATTTTAACCCAAGGGTCTTCAGTTGTTGTATCAAGACTATAATCTACTCGTGCTTGTCTTTTAAGTATAGGCCTTTGTATTGATGAAAGTGGATTCCCTGTATTAGAGAAACATTGATTATAAACAAACCTCCTTCTACTTCTCTTTCTCCATCCCTTATCTATGCATTGTTATTTATTAATTCATTAAACTTGAATTTCATTCAAGCCTCCAAGAGGTATTTTTTTAAAGTTTCTAAATAGTTCAAACTTCTTTTAAGATTCACAGCTCTTGATCTGCAAGTTCCAATTTTTGACGCTGAAATTAACTGAAAAACAAGGCTCTTCCTTGCTTATTTACAAGATCCCTTTTCTAAACGGCCTGCAACTTCTAAAGGTAACCTGAAAATTTGTGGTGCTGAAGTGATAATATAGGCTGTAACAGTTAGAATAGAAGGCTAAAATTGCAATGTTGTTTGCAGCCTTGTGAAAAAGCTGGTGTTACAGTGGATTCTTTAAAAAATAATTTTTTTCCCCTACGTTTACAAATATTTTTAGAGTACCACTCTAAAATGACTGTCACATTAAGATCTTTGGTATTTATGCTTCCTTAAATCTGTGCAGGCATTTCCAGTTGTACTTTTCTAGTGAGTAAAAACTTAAATCTAAAGTAGGAATATTTTTACATCACAGACCGATTCAGTATTTTAATGTTAGCCATCACAGAGCTGAATGACGGCAAACTTCTGTTTGTGCAGTTGCACACTTACTGTTATCTGCTTCACTTGAAATAAAAGCATTTTCTAAGGCACCATTTTCTAATGATCTGAGCCAGAAGTTACAGAATTACAGAATGGTTTAGGTTGTAAGAGAATTGTTGAGGTTGTCTAGCTCCCTTGATGCTAAATTTCCTTAATTCTAACTAGCACAACAGTATACTAATTTATTATCAGTGGTTTGCACCATTGCAACACTTGAGACTTGAAACTATGAGTAAAAATGTCTTTTAGAAATTCTAAAACTAATGTTTACTATCAAATTTTCAATATAAATAAGCAGTTTCATCTGAAGAAATACAGCAATACTATACTTGTCCATTGATTATGCTGTTCTTAGTATAGTTTCCTTTTTTTTTTTGCAGATTAGTCAATAGTCTGAAATTTCATCTGTTCACCTCAAAATTTACGGCTGTGGGTTGAAGTCTACATTTAAAGAGAAAGGTGAATTCAGCTTGATACCCATTTTGGAATCCAAGCTAAATGCTAGGATCATTTGCAAAAAAAATAGTTCATGGTATTAAACATACCTAAGTTTGCTTTTCTTTCTTGATCTCTGCCCGCTGGAGCAGCAGTTATGTGCTCAGTATCGTGTGCTGCAGGAGAAGTGGTAAAGGCACTGCGGGTTACATCGGTTTGATGTCCCTCTAGCATTGGTTCCCCAAAAAAAACAAACAGGAAATAAAAGTGTGTCAGAATGTAATTATGCAAACCACGCTATATATGAATCTGAAAAAACCCATGTTTTCATTTCTTTTTAATGTGAAAAGAAATATTGAATAGAAATCAAGCTTTCGCTTCTGCTTGGGATCTAATCCTCATAGGACTTAATATATTCTATGTTTCGAGAGTGCTGGCATGATATTTTATTGTTACACTTGTAAACAGACTGTGAAAATATGCAGCTAACTTCTCAGAAGTTTTGTAATGACCTTTATAATAAACTAAAAGACTGCCTACCATAATTTTTTTTTTAAATCATCTGCTCAGTAGACTTTTATAAACCAGTCAAGCAAATTTCCTCCAACTTCATAATAAGCTCTCTTTTCTGTTGAAGCCTTTTGCCCTTAAGCACAAGATAGATAATCTAAATAGTTACTACAGTTTTAGAGCTCTCTCTTGGGTTTTGGGGTTTGGGTTTTTTTGGTTTTTTTTGTTGTTTTTTGTTTGGTGGAGTTTTTTTGCTGGAAACATGGGGCGAGAGGATTAGTTTGAGGCTGCAGTAAATGCCACTCTCAATATCATTAACACATGCTCTGGAGCTACTTGATTCCTTTGTAACCAAGTTACCATCTGCTGCGGATGGTACACATAAGTGCTCTCTGCTATAAAATTGAGCTCCAGGATTACTAATAAGGATCAAAACCAGACAGGACAGAAAGTGAAGGCCTAGAAACAAATGAGATTGTCCAGAAAAAAATCAGTAATTGAACAATTTTTTAGCCTTTCTGTGATGGGGTGGTGTTTGTTATGCAACTTTCTTATTTTCGGAAAACCTTTCTCCATCCTCTGCCTACTAGGGTCCTTCTTGAAAGCTGCGCTTGTGTTCTGTTGCTGTTTATGTGGACATCAGACGTTCAGCAAGTGAAGCAGCCACTTTGGAAGGACTACAAACAGTTTGATCCTACTCTTTACTGATGGCAGTTACACCTACCTTTTTATTGATGTGGTTTCAAGCACAGTCAAAAATATCAATTAAGCATTCTTGGTTATGAAAAATCAAACTTGCAGTCTGCAGAACCCCCATGTAAGATTGTGGTATGCAGGCCTCAATCTGACTAATACAAAATGTTTGGGGAATACAGTTTTGGTTTTTTTAAAAAAGGAGTAATAATACCTTCTCTTAATGATCTGAAACATGTTCTGACAAGAAATCCTCTCTCCTGGGGACATAAAGGATCTATTGCTCTGATGAATACAGACTGTCTTACTAGAGGAATTTCTCTCATTAACAGAGCTTGACTTTTCATAGACTTTATTAATCTTAAGATGTATCTTTTTTTCTTCTTAGTATTTAGACTGAGTATTGAAAAATAATAAGTTGCATGCAGTGGTAAGTTCTACAAGTACTTATTTATCTGAATTTTACTTCTGAAAGGTGATTTTTCCTGTAGCTGTTGATGAATATGTTTCTACTGCTGTCTTCTTAGGGGATGGTAAAATAATGACCATATAAGAGGTGCTGAATTGGAACTTTCTTGGATATTAACATTATACATGGACTTCAGTCTGAACTCTGTATCGTTTTATTTTGATCTCTGCAGCTTGGGAACTGTAGGATTTTTTTGTTTGCATGCATTGAGATCTGCTCAGTTCTGCTGCGTATTGCTAAACCCAGGGGAAAGAGGTTTCATTTTTAAACAAACCACAACTTTGTTTCAGCATGCAGATCTCACAGTCCCTCTCACTCGTGCAGATATGAAACATTGTCTTTCTGCTCTGTCTTAGAGAGGGAACTGAAATTTTGTAACATACAGATATACAGTTAATTTTCAAATACTGTAGCTCATCGACAAGTATGTATGTGTCAATTTAAATGAGTTTATTTAGAACCTCCTGGTCTCAAGAAATGTATATGAAGCCAAGACTACCTGCTATACAAAATGTTAGTGCGTTCTTCCAATAGAAATCCGCTACTGAAATAATTTATTTGTTTCACAATTTCTCTACTTCATGAATGATTTGACTAAGTGTCAAGGTTAGGACAAAATTACATCAGAGGCTGTGCAAACTCCTCCAATCCCATCCCAGAGCAAATCGCTGTTCCAGGCACGTGTTTGCGAGCAATGACAGTGGGAGACTCAAATTCATCCCTGCTGCTACTTCTCTCACTGGGATTGTAACTCAGATTCCTTGCTATGGGAGAAAATTTCCTTCAGGCACTTCTCTGCCTTCTGACCTTAGCTTGAACATCACATTTTGACCTAAACTGGCTTTACTAAAATATATAGATTATCTTCAAAACAGAAGAGCCTCATTCCCGTCACCCAGTCCTCACATATGTATGCACACTTTCTCTTTCTCCCTGCCATCATACAAAGTCACTTTGCCTTCCTCCTTCCCCTGCCTCACAAATATGCAAACACAAGAACGTTTTTCAGATTTTGCTTTACCTGAACATTTGCAGAAGGTGATATAGCCACTTCTGATATAGCCACTTCTGATACCAGCTTTTCTTTTCTGTCTGCATTACACTGGTCATTACATGTACAGTCCTGCTTAAAGTATTTCCTTGGTGGAGGTTTGGGCTTTGATGATTTAGGTTTTCTAACGAAGATCTCTGATGATTTCTTAGTGTTTTGTGAGGGTCGACCTCCCTCACTACAAGTAGGAGGGGAATTGCTCTCTGAATTGTTGCCAGAGAATGAGTACAGCAGGCCAGGCTGCCTGGTGATTGGTACATCGATGCTATGTACTCGTGCTTTCAAGTCAGTCAGTTGGAACACAGCACCATTACTACACGAGGACCTAGGGTTGTAGCTGCTGTCACTGCTGGAGCGGATCATTAGCTTCTGCGTCCTGCGGTTGCAATGAGCAGAATTCCTTTCTATATGTTTCTCACACGGGTGTCTTCCATGCCAGCTCGTTTCTAGTTTCTTAACACCTGTATCAGGAACATGTTCAAAATGTCTATTCAGATACATGCAACATGCTCACTTCTAAGATTCAGCTGATTAAATTTGCAGCTAAATATCATCACTGATTGATGCAAATATATGGTTTATGCATTAAAGGCTTGTAAATAGAAGAGTCAACAGTTACATTCTTGGGCAGCAAAATAACTTTACATTTTCCATACATACATATATATTTATATATATGATATATATATCAGCAGTATAGTTGTACCATGATTCTGTTGCTTTTGGTCCTGTGGAAGAAATGAGGACACGAAAAGGAGTACCGTTGCAGTATGTTACTGTGGGAAGATGTCATAACTGAACTGGGCAAATAGCTCTAACCGTGACTGCATATGCCTTTCCTCATAAGGGCATTAACAAGCGGTTTGGCCCCAGAATACCACCTGCATTGTGCAGTTCCTTGCTATCATAGTCCTGTCACCTACTGACAGTTGTGTGAAAAGCTTTAAGCAGAAGTTATGAATTGGAAAGGATGAGCAAGAGCAAGTTTGCACAATTTTTTTTTCTGGCAATCAGATGGACGTGTTGGGTTTTTTCTCATCACTCTGGTAACACATCTTAGGAGGCATGTTAGGAGTGTTGTCCTGTGAGGTTCCCTTCCTTTCTGCTCGGGTTATTTCACTGTTACCAAAGACTCCAATACAGCATGTGCTCATCCTAATGTCTTTTAAGTCAAAATTACCATGTCTCAATGAATGCTCTTATTCCTTTACCTTCAGTACTCCACTGGTGTCTCTCCTTTCCGAACCTGTTGCTTTCCACTGCTTGTGCTACAGCTTCTTTTAGCTGTTGCTCAGACACCTAGGAAATATCATGCCATTATACTTTCACAAAATTACTGTGGAGTGAGTAACATTTCAACATCTATTCCTTTCAAAAAGATTTCCAAGTCCTGCAAGTCCTCATACAGAAATGAATAGATCTGGTTATATCACGTATTAGTTAATTTAAAAGGTAAGTAAATGCACACCATTATATTTGTTTATATTCCACTATAGCTGACTTGCATTTATGGATGTGCTTTTCATATTGGTCGTTCAGATAAAAAGGGATCTTTCAAAGGTAATTGTTCTTTTGCATATTTCACTAGAAGTAGAGTTCTGTATTTACCAGTATAATATAATTTAATGCTGCACTTTACGATGCGCTTTATGATGCAACAATTTAAACTTGATAATAATTTATACAGTATTTGGTGTTAGGAAGCATTCTATAGAAAAATCTTGCAAGAATGAAATGTTTTACTTGAATATTAATTTAATTATAAACATTGGCTTTGCAAGACACAGTTTTTAATTGCTGAAAGGCAGGTGTATTAGCATTTCTTTCTTTTTTTGGGGGGGGGTATGTTCCCTCTTTCAAATTATTTTCTTATTATTGGGAATTCTTTCTTGAATAAGAAATTTATTTTTGTTTATTTCTTAAATGTTATTTCTGTAATTTACTTATTCACAGTACAAAAACTCATGCAAGAGTGTCTCCAGTGATCTTCAAATCTTGATTATATTTAAGATAGTGAATATCTCAGGTTTGCTTGTGTACAGTGACATTTATAAAGAAATCAGCATCTTTGTTATCAGCACTTTTCCACCTGTTTTAGATTAGTGCCTGCTCCCTCACTTAGCTTTAGTTCTCAGTATGTGCTTTATTGAAAGTCAGAAGGAATAGAGCGTGCTACCTGTGGTTCAGGGTGTCTGCTGATAATAATCTGCACTGCACCAGGATCGCAATGGCTTAGCACAGCATAAACTTCATTAAGAGTCATATTTTGTACTGAGGCTTCATTAATTTCAATAATTTCATCTCCACACCTACAGAGGCATTAAAAAAGGAGAAAGGATGTAAACATAACAGATTTTCTCCCAACCTTGTCTACCCCACATGAAAGCAAAAAACAATTGCATGTTGTTGAACTCTAATTCGATCACAGATTAAATTGCTATCTCTCTGTGTTCCTGTTACAGAAAATGGAAGGGGAATGAGTTGAACGTCAAGGTCTTTTTGATCTAACTGCCTCGGTGTGTGCACCCTTTGAGCTCTCTTCATGTTCAGCTATGCACGCTCTGTCTGCGACCTTTCTGCGGTATGCAGCTCAGCTGCTGCTTCCGCCGACATCTTCCTTCCTTCCTTTTAAGTTAATGCTTCACTTTTCACGTCTTCATGGTCTGCTAGTGTTATTTAAGGTCAGAAGGGATGTTGTGTTTCTGCTACATATTAATAACCTGTTAATAGAAAGATTCCAGCAACAAATTATTGTAATCCTGCTAGTCTGAATCTTTCTAGGTGAAATCCAAATTTGGCCCATATAGAAACAGAGTTCGCCCTTCTCTACTCTGCTGCAAATACCCACATACATTAAGTGGCTGATGGAAGGCACTGATTTGTATCATGCAAACTTTCAAATAGACCACAGTTCTTTCTGTTAAAGTCTAGACACGAAGAGAGGAGGGCTACAAAGCACCTAAAGTTAAATCAAAAAGCCTTCACTTAAAATGCTATGTTCTGTTTAATCCTAAACATATTCAGCACTTCTAATTGGTCTTAAATCTTACAAAGTTAATTTCTACACTCTCACTAAAGCTCATTTCAGCAGATCTGTGTTTCTACTGGGCAAGATGTGATACAATTTGAGGAGCTTCTATCAGGAAAAAACAGCGCTCAGACAAGGCAGAATGTGCCGTATGTTTGGGTTTTTCTAGATAGTTTCTCATTGGGAAATCTCTTCCTGGAAGAATGTTTGTCTAAGACCCCCAAAACTAGCCCAGCCTGGACACTGGGTTGCTATAAATTTGGAAAATCTCACGTATCCTAAATACACATGCTCAGACCCGCAGAATAGCACGTATGATTTGACCCTAAAAAAGCACTGTGACTTCCTGCCCAAACACGTCAAAAATAAACCTATAAAACAGAGCAAATATAAACTTATGGCGTAAGACCATTTCTCATCCTACCTGAGTCTCCCATCCATGTGTGCCACTGAACCTGGTGAGAGAGTGTGAATAAAAATCCCTGAAATACACTGGAAGTAAGGGATGCTACATAACCCGATTCCAAGGCCAACACCTGGTTCTGAAAGAATTAATAAAAGACATAAGAAGCAGTCAAAACAAATCATTGGAGAGACCATTTTTTAAAATGTCTTCAATTTAATTATTTTTTTCTATACCAACCATAAACAAAGTCTTGTGTTCATGCATGTTTCACATTCAGTATTAGCTACTCCTCCTACTGTTTTTCTTTTACTCCCCCATCCCTCATGATTAAAGTCACTGCACACCAATATGGCTTGTGGGGTTCCAAAATCTGGTTTGCAGCTCAATACTGGTGTGTCACAGACACAATGCAATGCTGGTTTATTTTGCAAAATATCTGTCATTACAGAAGAATTCAAATGATTTTACAAGGAGAGAGAATAGGGGGAAAAAAAGAACAAAAATTAAGGAGGGGAATAAAAGCAAACAAAAATTATGTATGTCTGGCTATTGTTTGCTAGATGTAACCCCTTTCTGTTTCATATAATACAGATAAAGGTTTTTGTGAATGTACCCTCTTTGCTCTGGACAATCACTCTGATGTCAGATCTCATACTGTTTGGTAAGTCATGCTGTTACCTCATAAGAGACTGCTTGGTTTGCTATCTTTGATGTTCCCATATTTAAAAATTTATTTCATTCTGCCAGTGGTTTTTTTATAAATAGAAGACGATGATAGTTGGAGAGGAGATGAAAGAACTACATGAAGATATAGGTATGTATTTTATTTGCTTTTAAGCCTTTTCAAGAAGGAAATTAACTGCTTGCACACTTAAGGGTAAGAGTTACATAATCTGCTTAATAATTGGTAGTTGTTGCCAAGAGGTTTACTTTTCCATGTGAAGGATATGAATGTGACTACTGCTTGAGTGGAAAAAAATGAAAAAAAAGATTGGCTTTTGAGGACAGACAATGTTCAAAATCCTGCTGTTGATAGATAGTTGTTAGCACTAAGACAGGCACCAATATCTAATTTAGTGTTTAAAAAAAACCCCACAAAATCTTAGTTCAGGAAAATAATCAGGTTAGCGAGGAAAGACATTCAGAGAGAAAATGAAGAGTGGTTTGTGAATCAGTGCCTTGTTTGCCAGTGCTCAGTTAATTTTGGCACTTACCTTTGTTTAGGGTAACTTCCATTATGACCCTGTCATTGGGCTTTGTAGCATTTAATGAGAATGTTGCACTTTCTGAACTGAAAGAGCTGTTTTCTTTGGTTATGCATGTAGTGGAGCTCAGTGACTGACACAAGTGGGGCGACAGACAACTGGAAGCAGAATGAGGTGTGCTGAAGCTTGTCCTGACTGTAAGTGTGAGAAGACCCTTTTTGGCCTGCTAGAAAGAGGAGACAGATTATGACTACGTGGAGTTCACATACATGTTGTGTGTACAGACAGAAATTGTGCTGGAAGGAGAGTACATAACCTTGAATTTTTGTAAAGCATCGTAATGTGTTAATCCATGCATGGATTCTCCATTCAGTTCCAGGATTTCATCACCTATTTTTAAAAAAGAAAAACAGCACTATGTTACTATTACTGAATTGTGCCATAAGTTACATGATGCATACATTCTAGTGTCACTTTAATCTACCTTTAGATATCACTCTTTGGGAATCTGGAGTGGGAAAAGGGAGAGAAGAGGGATTTCCCACCTTCTTGTAACCTTCCATCAGCAGCAGCAGCTCCACCAGGAAAGATGGTTTTGACATAGATGCCTATTGGTCCGTAAATGCTGTCTTTCCCTCCAACAATACTGAAGCCCAAACCCTAATTTGTGGAAGAAAAACAGTGTGTGAGAGATCCATGTTCAGTTCTCCTAATAGTTCATTTGCAGTTTCTTCTGCATTTGCTACATCGGCAGTACTATTTAATGGAGTAGCATAATCTATGAAAAAAACAGTTAACCACATGCCAGTAGTAAAAGCAAATGAAAATTTCAGCTGAGTACTCTCTTGATATACATTCTGTTTGTTGCTATCAATTAATTCACTATTCCACATAAGAAGGTGTCTAAATTATTTTATTTTGCCCTTGAACTAATAAACCACCTTGAGAGATTAATTTATCTGTTCTCCTTAATTTCCTCTCCCATAAATGAGTTCAATAAAAAACACCATATAAGTTCTTGGTATTACTTTTAACCTCAGACATGCATATGGAGATATCTCTCTTTTACCCTCTACCAGAGTTAATGTGTGTTATAAGCTTAAGCAATACCAATAGGCCTTTAAAGGTAGATACTTCTCATCTACTTATTCTTTGCCCTTTTTCCCCTTATATAAAAGTCAAACACTGCCTGCTACTCTTGGAAGGATATTACAGGACTAATTCACACCTCTGAAGCTATTTAACATCCCTGAAATGAAAAGTGAAGGTACTGTGCTGATGACATCCTCATAGGCTCTCAAAATGCAGATGACATTATTATTTTTTAACTTATGCTGATGATCAGACTTCGTGGAATGATTTCTGAGAGTCATCTCACAGCTTAAGTACTTATAAATAAAACATTAAATATTTTAACTTAAAAGGTTATTTATAAACAAATTGAGAACCTTATTCAACAAGTTCAAAAGTTATGTGTTTAAATTCATAGCTTCTGTATTCTCTTTCTAAACATCTTCAGTGATATTACTTTTGTAGATACAACTACCTTCTGTCTTTCTCCAGACTTTTATTGTGGCTTTTGCCAATGTTTATTGTGTTTTATTGGGGTCCTGTGTGTTCCTGGTAGCTCTTGTTTTCCTTTTCAATAGATTTGTCTTTATGGCTCAACTCTGACTTGAAGGAAGCTCTAAGGTTGCTGTGCTAGTGCAATGTACAGATGACACAGAGTCTATGATTCCAAGCCTACCTCCAGCTGCCAAAAATTATAGAAGTAAATGTCAACATTGGTGTTATCTTATGTTATTAGAACGTGAAGAGTGCCTCAGCAAAGAAATACTTCAGAAGGTTAAGAAGCGAGTCATGAGAACTAATTACTCTTGGCAAAGCCTGGGTATGAATTGGCAAACCAGAAGTAGCAACCTTAATACCTGAAGTCACTTCCTTGCACTTTGTAGCTTACGTTTGTGAAACAAAGTAAAACCCTATGGTAAATCAACAGATTCAATCTCACCTTTCCTTGTCCTTTCATCAACACGATGTTTGAGATTACTGAAGCCTGTGAGCCACAGGATGTGTGCACTAGCTGTGCTGTACTTAGTGATCTAGATGGCCTCGAAATTGCCTGTGAACATAAAAAAAAAATTAATGCAGAACCATAATTTTTAGACGTACATTAGGACAACTTATTTATTTCAAAATCAATTCTAATTTTCAGAAGCCACGTTATTTTGACAATCGCTTCTCACTGCAATTATCCCACAGTGACTGAACTGGAGAGAAATGAGAAAGTTGGCCCTTGAAGTGGGGGCCAACAGAAAGATATATTTGTGCTCTGATTTGATTCTCCATGCCAAAATCCCATTTTGTATCCATTAAGGGTCCTAAACGAGTATTATCATATTTGTCTTTAAGAACTGAACTAAGAAACAAGAAATTCTAACTCCTTCCCTCATCTTGCCACTAAATAACTTTATCTTGGGACATATAGATCCTGTCTTCAGCATTTCCCCCAAAATATGAATTAGTGCTCACTAAAGTTCTTCAGATTGTGAACTACCCTGTGCTGCCTCTGTTAAGCCCCCAGATAGGTTTCTTTCTACAGCTGAAAGAGGTGAAGTATGTCCTTTTTGCTTGAAAACCAAGGAAAGCAACTTCTCACGCTTTTCATCCCTCTGTTCCACAAACAGTGGAGTTCCGAACTCCAGCCCCCAAGATCTGAGCCATTTTAATGAACCTTTAATGAAAACCTCCTATTTAAACATGGAATTGGGTATTACAAACTAATTTAAACACTGACAAAAGTCATTACCTAAAGCTAATTATGCATGAAGTTCAGCAAGGTCAGAGTTAATTGCACACATTACAAGTCCAAGAGAGTTCCAAACCTTTTTTTATTTTTTAATGCAGCAAAGTGAAAGTAACAGGTGTTGATGTGCATGGAATATCAGACAAAATTTCAGCCTCTACATATGCGAGATTATAAGTCTCAATTCTGACAGAAAAACAAGATCATTTATTCAACATGGGATTGGGAACATGATTAAGAGGGAAATGTCTGTGTAATACCAAAAAACTATACTCTCTAAAAAGTATATCTCTGCCAGGTCAGGGTGATTGTTTATTCAATTGTGTGCCTTCTCAATCTGAAATTGGAAGTTTTCATTTAAATTTCATTTGCTTCTGTGTGAGGGGGTGTATTTTCTATTTCTGTGTGTGGTGACAACGAAAACCAAGGTGCTGCCAAAGATGATCTGCTAATGGGCAGCATCTGCCACACAGGACCTTCAAGCAGGAGGAAGCCCAGCAAATCCCTGAGGTCTGCACAGGTGTTGTTTGGTTGGGATTTGTGCTCCAGTTTGCCATGTCCTCACCCCCATCAAAGCCCTAGGTCAGGTTGTGGTGCCCTCAGGGTTACATTACCAGAATTGTTTAAATATCTATAATTTACTGTGGGGCAGAGCAGAATGCCTCATGCAGCCAGGGCAGCTAGGGGCTGTGGCTACGAGTCGTGAGGTGAGTCCATACCTGCTCATGGCCATGGCTGGGCCAATGGAGGTGATGAAAGGCTTGCAGCAGTGGGACCCAAAGCTCAGGCTGGGGTTTTGTTAGCCAGATGCACAGAGCATCTCCATGGCGAGCAGCAGGAAAACATTCAGAAAGGAGGGGCTCTTCAGCGGTGAGCTCTGCAGTGGCTCTGGCTGACTACCAAGGTGGTGCAAACCACAGAGGGGGATTTACAGACACAGTAAAACCTGCTGGGGCAATGGGAGGGAGAAGCTGCTGAAGAACTGGCATTTTGCTGGCACAGAGCCTTTCCCGCTCTCCTGCTCCTCGCTGAGGAGAGATGGGATTAAAAAGTGGAGGAAGCAAATGTTCGCCATCTTCCCTGACAGGACCAGTGAGGAAGGTAGGTTTTGGCAGGAAAGTGACTGCCAATGTCATCGAGAGATTCTTAGAGACCGTTTTGCCTGTTTTTCAGGTGATTTCCTGTAGCACTTACTGGGTTTCTCCCTCCAGAGCAGTCCAGCTGTTGAGACAGAGATTTGCGGCTGGTGTGGAGAGTGTGGGGCTGCCGGTCTCTGAAGGGCACGGCTCTCCGGGGTGCTGTGCAGTCCATCTCCCCTACCCAGTATGGGTTTACACCTGTTGGATGTGGGGAGAGAGACTGGGTTATTTCTCAAGTGTTGGACATTTCTGCACATTCATTTGACCAGGTAAGTGTTACTTAGAAATGTTTTTCCTCCTGTATCTCTCTGTGAGGACTCTTTTCAGTCCTCATTGTAGGACTAAATGTCATTATGTTAATGTTAATTAATGCCATTAATGTTAAATATAGTAAAGAGCAAACATTAGCTGCCAAAAGGATATTGTCCTATTTAGAATACACCTTAAAAATATATAATTGAATGCTTATGCTCAAAATCTCAGACTGTAGGATATTGTGAATATAAAAGCTGATGCTTTTATGCATCAGCAATTCTTAGCTAAGTGTCGCAGACTAAATTTGGACAGCAGCTGTGGTTTCTTTCAACACTGCAGTACCATCACACAATGAAGTGCTGTGCTGTGCACTCTCCGAGTATTACAAGAGAAAAGATTACGTCTCTGCAACTTACTGGTTGAGTTACTGCGAGTGCGTTGACACGCAGCTTTACCGTGCAGAAAACCATTCTGTATCTCCAGAGGCTTTTCCTTACAGGTTGGTGTTTCCTTAAAAGAAAAAAGAAAAAAATATTGTTATGCAAGGTATTCTCAAAAGTGATCTAAATTTAGAAATAAGTTTTCTCCTTATTTGGCTTGCACAAATTTCAGCCTGAATCAAAAAGCATGGAGCAAAGTTAATTATTTAAAATAAATAGGATGATCAAGGAGAATGCAGCTCAAAAGTCTGCTATAAAAAATGATTATAACTTGCCAAAGTAATAAGATAAAAATAGATTCTGGTTTTTAGTCAAAATGATCAGAAAATTAATTAAACACCTCCCGTTGGTTCAGGCAGACTAATATTTTAATGTATGTCTAATTTGTCTATTTTCTGGCGACAGCTGTGGGTTTGGGTACTCTGTCTCAATCACCTTAGAACAGTATTAATTTCAAAAGGAAAATTCTAAGGCCCAGCTTTGCAATGGTGGATAGGTGTCTAACTTCTGCTGATTTCAGAGGGATGTTTTTTAGCCAAAATACTATCTAAGTGTTTAAAAAAACCTTTGAGGACTAAGCTTTAGTGTTTTCCAAAAATTCAGCACCTTCTACTTGGAAACTCTTGGTTGCTTTTGAAGAGATGGCCACTAATTCTAGCATTTAAACTTACAGATAAAACATTCACATTTCTAAAGGCAGGTTTTAGAACAGTTTTAAGATAAATAAATGATCACATCTGAATAACAGTTAATGTTAGGAGTAATTTCTGGATGTGTATGGTTCCCAAAAGTGAATACCGTTGATACTGAGGGAATCATAGCTAAAGGAAGGACATTACTGCAGACAGCATATGGAAACTGATTAAAATATAGTAAAGCTCCAAATATAAAAGAGTTTTGCTCAGTGGTATTCTGCAGGGGCTAAGAAGGCCACAAGAGCAGCATCAGAGCAGGATCTGTATGTTTTAATCTGTCTGGAGCCAACCAAGACAAACACTTTCTTCCAGAAGTCTGACTTGAGTACTGCTGTTTGAAGATATCTCAGCTAAGGGATGATAATTTTCCTCTTCGACAGCAGGTGGAGGCATTGCCAAGTAGCAAAATCCTACTAAGGTTTTCCAGTCCCATTCCCCTAGGGAACTCTTCAGAATAAGAAATGCAGAAAAGATCCTTAAAAAAAGGTATTTTGAAAATGATTTTGCAGTGTTTTTCTTACCAAGGTAACTAGCTTCAAAAGCTTTTGATATTAACTGTTAATTAATTTGGTACAGGCTTGTCTTTAAATGCAGAGTTTACTTGGCTGCCTCTTGGGTGGTATTGTACTACAAAATATAGTTCACCTCTGACCACTTAGGCATTTAAAGGAGAGAAAATAAACAAAAATCTTGGCAGAATCCAGCAGAGATCTGGATGAGACACTTCGCTGCTATCCTAGAAAGCAGCACACTGTACTCAGACCTGATAGCAGCTCCAGTCACGAGAGTGTTCTCAGTCTAGGGTTATATCAGAGCCTTCTCTGTGACCTTATTGCAGATAAGTGCCTTAACAGAAAGTGCCTTTTTTTCCTTGAATATCAAGACCTGAAGCCTGCGACAAATCTCTGGTTGAGCTCTTTTGTCTTCAAAGTGGTAAATGTGTGGTAGGGGACTAACTTTGCCCAGTCATCATCCCTGGGTTTACTCCAGAATTTGAAAGTGAGAAGCCTTTGATGCCATCTAGTTTGGGGTGGGGATGAGAGAAAAAGAAGCCTGAAATTAAAGATGTCTAATCCAATGAAATTGACTTGGTGAAAGAAAGATCAAATGAGTTTTCCACTGAAAGATTGGTGATAATCCGTTTTTCTGTCTTACTAGTTCTTCCTCCTGCTCTCCTCACTCTATAGCAAACTCCAGTGACATTCACCATGGGAATTTAATATCCATAGTTCCTAGGTCCACAACACTGCTTTAGTATAGGGCTTGCTCTCTGGTTTCTGGATTCGTGGATCTTCCCTTAAATCCAACTCCACCTTTGCTCAACTTTCAAATGGAAAATTAACGTTGCCAAGCTATGTGATTCTAAAAGGAGGGGTTGTATAGCCCTTGCTAGAATTTCCCAGGGCCTTGTGCTCCCTATAGCTTCTATTTATCTGCGAAAAAGCTATGCTGAAAGCCACCAGCGTCTGACCGCAAGAGGTTTGGGGTTTTGTCAGGAAGAGCAAAACCATGTTCTCAAATGTCTGATACACAAATTGGCCTTCTCTCTCAAGTCAATGTTGCCGAATCATCCCACAGTGGTGGGAGAGGATCACAGCTTTCATGCTTACCTTGCTAGCCATCAGGATATTCACCAGCCGTGTTGGGTGAATGAGAGCTTCAGCCTCCTTACTGGGCAGATCTTTAAGTGATTGTCCATTTAGTGTTAACAGTTCATCCCTTGGGCTCAGATGACCATCCCTTAAAAAAAGAAAAAAGAAAAAAACAGAAAATAAAAAAGAAACATGCCTGCATATAATTTTACAAAGAACAGTATGGCACTGTTGTGCTATGTGTCTCACTAACTGAGGAGTGAGCTGCAGTCCTCCCTTTGCCTTAAACAGAGCTGCCATGAGATGTCTTGATGCACCATCCCCTGCTAGGATGTTTTCCTGTTGCTGCTCTCTTCTGCTCGGTCCTGGTGATCAGTGGCTGCCTTTCCACATGTAGCTTACACCAGCATAGTATAGCCCAAGCCAGGCAAAACATTCCTCCTTTCAGGAACTTTGGCTCACATTGTTTTCCAGCAGCCTTGCTAGGCATTGACATCCTACATTGCCCTTAATAGGGCAACTAGGAAAACACTGTTTGAAAACTTGATGTTATGTACAATCTTTCATTCTTCCAGGTTTTATTTCTTAGTATAATTGAAGAACATTAGATCCCTAAATAGTCACAGTTTTATTTTTCTAGAATCTTGTCCTGTCTCTCCAACTGGAAGCGTTGTAAGAAATTATTTCTGAACATCACTGCCTTTCTCTGAAATTGAGCTTCAAGGCATAACTTGTCACAGAAAGCTGGTCATGCAAAATCCTTGCAGACAAATGACTCCCTAATAAGCGGCTCACTCCATGTGTACTGTTACCTGTTTGCTGTATCTCCAGAAGACACCTGGCTGCCTGTGAACCCTTTCCAAAGAGATGCACAGTTCGGACTCCTAGAGATCTTGATGGCTGAGCTGGTACACAGCCTGCAGATGCAGCTGTCCTGATTCAGAAGATGAAAGGTTGCATGAAAGAAAATGTACCCAGGATGTTAAAAGTTACCTACAGTTATCTTGAGACTTTTTTAAGAAATGCAGAAAATGTTCTTGTTCTTAGAACCAGATTGCCTCCACACAGAACAGGAACAGGCCTTTATCACTGTGCAGTTATGAAAGAATTATTTTTAAAAGTATTATAGAGTGCGTGTTTAAATATAACTGTTTTCCTTTGGACTTCAGTGGCTTCTGGCTACAAGAGGAAAGTATTAGAATAGAGTGTCCCTTTGCATAGAGGCGAAAAGAACAGATAATAGACTTTTCATAGTAACTGGATACATTTTGCTTATGCTAACTATTATAAGAAAAGACGGGGAGGAAAATAAACACACGCCAGAAAAGTAAACACTCTGGAAAACAGAAGAGGTCTGAATGGAAAATAAGTGTATACAAAACACTAGAAGCTCCGCCCCTGCTGCTGACTGGTTAAGCGTGGGCAGGGGAGCAGAGAGGACTACAACAGTGGATGGACTCTGTCCACTCCAGGCTGGCTGAAGTTGCCATATTCTGTGTGTTACATATGGAGGACTAATTGTAAGCACATTTTTCACACAATTATGGATTATTAACATGTGACCATACAGAAAGAAAAATAGTGTCCTAAGTCATATGAGGAAGTAAAGCAAAGAATGGATTAACTAAGCATATGAAGGACAACACATTTTTCTAGGATATATAGTCCTGCAGCACAAATGTGAGAACACTTAAAAATTCTAGAGAGACAAGGAAATCTGCAAAGTTATCAGACAAATTCTTTTCTGTTTGCTTAGTAAATGTCCTAATGCAAGTATTCACTCATTCTGCTCCCAGCTGAACCCACCTCCTCTGCCCTTGCCAGCCTCTCCATACTCCACAAAGTGAAGAGGGCTCTCAGTGTATCCTGGATCCAGGCTTGTTCCCAAGAGATTTCTATGACTGAGGTATAGATTTCTGAAGGGGAGGCAAATTTCATATATTAGGACAGGCCACAAAATATTGCAGTGGTCAACTGTCTGTATTGCTCCCAGGTCCCCTGGTCAGAGTGGCACGAACTATTTTCAGTCATCTGTAGTCCTTTGTCAGCACAAGGAGAGCTGTGTAACCAACTTCTTCAGCATCAGGAGGGCTTCATTTCTGCTCTAAGCAGACTCCATCCAGCCCTGAGGGTTAGAATCATTACGCCCTTTCACCACAAATCAATAGGGATCACATCATACCTGACTGACAGCAAGTACAAACTTCAAATTTACAGCAATGTCAATAAAGGTCATTATCTTCCAGGCTGACTACTGAAGCCTGACTCCCATTCTGAAACCTGCCAGAGTAAATCTAAGGCTGTGAATGAATGAAGTATTTAACTTTGAGCCCTGGGCTCACTGCAGGCTGAATTCAGTAGGTAATGTATAAGGGCTATACTTGTATTGACCGACTTGTTAACTCTGTGGGTTTACTTGCATTCCAGATTGTCTGCCGTTAATGAGGAGCGTCTGAATTTTACGAAGCCTTTTATGTTCATAAAGAGAGCTTCTAGTAAGTAACAGGTAAGTGTATAAGTGTGCACAGAATTCTATTTGAAACCAGTTTGTCTGAACTCTAGTATTAGTTTTGGAGCTTCTATATTTACTTTTCGCCCAAACTAAATATCTTGGGAAATACATACTTGAAATACGGACTATATTATCTTCTTTTTTATCTTATGGCACTGCTTTGAAGTCTTGAGCATGGAAACAAAATAAAGACTAGAATTCTGATACCTTAAATTTTCAGAAATCACAGGCCAGATTCTGCATACATGAAGCTCACAGGGTTTACAATGAGGTAATGTGCTTCTTCTAAGGCATGATAAATGTTTTAGATAGATATTAAGATAAAGATAGATATTAAATGTAGGAATTTATTTTGCTGGCTGGCAAGGTATTTTGAGACCTCAGCTGATCATGGATTGGGACCGTTGTGAAAGAATAATTGTATTATAGAGTCAGTGTTTTTAAAAAGTTGTTTTCGGTTTTTTGCTGTAGTCAGAATTCAAGTTTGGACTTGCCAAGTTCTCTTACAAGTCCTTACTCTTGTGTACTGCTCCCTTGAAGTATCTCTATATCCTCTCACAGATATTGGTCAGGCACACATAGCAAATTTTTCATAGCTGTTCTCTATGCTTCATTTCGGTTTTGATTTTAACTTAATGGTGGGCCTTTTCAAACTGTCCCCAACTCATCTCCCTCAAGAGCACAGTCATGCTTATGCCCCTCCAATAATTTGTTCACAGTGTGCAGTCACTACATACATGGTTTTTATAAAAAAATCTTCATACGTAATTGTCCAAAACTCATTTAGCTCTCATCAGTTTCACAGGACACCACAGAGTGCAGTGGGTTTGGCTCTGAGGTATTCATTGCAGTACCATGTAAGTCCTTTGGGGAAGACTTTGTATTTTGTACCATGGGACACATGCCAGGCTGGAAATTCTGGGTTGTATTGGGACATACATGTGAAATGACACCAAATAAAACCAAATATGAATATTCTTTCCAAGTGTAATAAGTTGCATGTATTTAGTCAGAAGGAAAGTAGATGTGAAAGCCATTGTGCATTGCAGAAAAACCTTGGGAACAATTTTTTATTAAATCTATAATCTTCTTACCAAATTGGGCTACTTTTCAAATAAGCTCTGTGTGTCAATCACTTCTGCAATTCATTTATGTGAATTACTTAAAATTATTGAGCTGTAGGGACATGTGGCAAATATCTGTATGTTGTCAGCATCTGCATTTTTTTAGGTCTTGGATATAGATCACTGTAGTCACATCCAAGTTATTGCAACATGACAGAAAATTAATAAAAGCTGTTCTTTAGAAAAATAAACGTTTGACCAATTCATGTGCCAGCAGTCAATTTGCTTTGGGTTTTGTTTTTAATGTCTTTTGTTTCCTGTCTCACTTATTATTTTATGCATAGAAATACAGCTGATGGTTCCAAGAGTAAAGACAGTATTTATTTTGCATCCTCCTAATTTTTACAGTATCCTGCTCATTTTGAAAGGTGATTTATAGCTCTGAATGTAGTGAATGTCGAAAATTTGCTAAAATAAGGTTGGCAGGTTTGGTGTGTGAGCAGCTGGATTCTAGGTCAACCTTGCCTACTCATTATTAGAACATATGGTTAAATGCACATTTGCTGCCAGTAAATAAAATCTCTCTGCTTCTAAGGGGCTTTGCCACTGAGCACTTCAAGACTCTGGGGAAACATATCTGCATTATGACATCCACTTATCACTGTGAAAACAAACGAAAAAAGAAAGTCTGTGGGAGTGCAATATAAAAAAAAAAGTCTTTATGCTGAATCAGCTTGGCTAAAAGATAAAAATTAAAGGTGGAGTTCAAGAGGCTTCTTGAAGACATTTTTGCCACAGGTGAGAGTAGATTAATTTTTCATGTCTTTAGTTCTGGAAAAGTAATTTGCATGTCCAGGCCAACTCTCTCCTCCTGCTCCCAATTTTTTTCATGTCAAATGTACAACTTCTAAGGATAGTTTTCTATCTGCCATTTAAAAGATTTCTTCTTCCTTCGTGCTCTCATTAGACATTTCTAGCCCAGCGTTCTGCCTAAAAACATGTAATTCCAGATGTTGTTTAGAAATAAGGGTAACCATGGCATCTGTGGAAAACTGAAAATCTTTTGTGCACTGTTAACGTAGGACACAGTAGTTAGATTGTCTGAAATGAAGTGTTATACAAGGCTAGTTCAAGTAAGGTCTTTTGACTCAGTTAACCAAGTGTATGACAATGAGCTGATTGACTGTTGTTTCAAAAAAAAAAAGGCAAAAAATAAAACAAAAAAATCAAACAACATCACAATGTTGAATTTAAATATTTAGCTTTTCTGGTCTCCTGACTGTGAAATGGCTGGGAATTCCAAATGGAAGATTAAGGGAATACAGTCTTTGGGGATTTTCTTCAAGAAGCATTTTTTTCCTACACCAGTTCTAACAAAGAAAGGGTCAGAGTATCTCTGGCATAATCTGACGTGAATCCACCGGTTCTGACGTACCCCAGCTGATGCCTTGGTCTTTTCAAAATATTTTCAGTAGATGTAATTCATTTCCCCAGCAGCATATTCCCTTTGCAATTATTAAAATGGTAGAAGCTAGAAAGCCTTTAGATGATAGAAGAAGCAAACCATGGGATTCAGGTTCTGCCCTAGATGGACCAGAAGCTAGAAAGCCTTTAGATGATGCAAGAAGCAGACCATGGGATTCAGGTTCTGCCCTAGATGGACGATTCAGCACATCAGATGTTAGAGACAGGACTTTCCACCCATCATCTGGTCTTTGGTATGTTTTTCTGGGAGCCGTTGCCCTGGCCCACGTTTTGCAGCCCACACTGTCTTACTGTAACACCCTCTTTCCCGACTTGCTCTGGGAATAACATGGCCCTGATGTCGCTAAATCAAGAAGTGTCTTACTGTAACACTCTCTTTCCCAGCTTGCTCTGGGGATAACATGGCCCTGATGTCGCTAAATCAAGAAGGCCAGGAAGACAGAGAGAGAGAAATTGGAAGAGGAAGAATAACACATAAATGTCTAAATAAATGCAGTCTCCTCTCCTGGCTTTGTTTTTCCATCCTGCTCATAGGCTCATGTTTGAGACATTACAGTCTGTTGCCATAACACTTGTCCTGGTACCAAAGGGCCAGCTAACTGGTATTTGCAAAAAGGCGAGTTAATAAAAATATATTCTGGCGATGACCAAGGGAGAAAAATGACCTTTTGCTTTTTTCCTCCTTCAAGCAGAGGATCAGGGACCAAAGGAGCAAGGATACAGAAGTTTCTAAGCTGAGTGGAGCCATGCAGTCAGATCATTTTGGATTCAATGTCTGCATAAAGAACCAGCTTCCCTATTATAGTTTATTCTAGATGCTATTTCAACTCTGCTACCAGCCCCTCTGCCTGCTAACTCTTGGTGCTACCCAGAGTGCTGGTGATGCAGGGAAGAGGTAAGGGAATGCCTCTTGAAGCAGCTCTCGCAGTCAGCAGAGACTGCTGTTCTCTGAAGAACATGAGTTGATATTATCTATTCCTGTCCACTCTCTCTGCAATTGGCACAGTCTCAGACTTTGTAATGACTTGAGAAGGCACGGCCATCTTCCACAGTGTTTGCTGTGCAGTGCACAAGGTATCAGACACTGCTTGCAATTCTTTTTTGTTCTCTTTTTCCTTTCAGACCACCTGAAAATTGCTGATTTTGTGAAAAGCAAACGATAAAGGAGATCTGCTTGTTTATACACTGACAGGCTGGCTTTCCAGCTCTGCCCACACCAGACTAAGCACACCTCATCTTGAAAGGTAAATGGTCTGGGAGCTGGCTGAACAGATGACACCCAGGTAATCTTGGGTGCTATAGACACAATAAGCAATAGTCAGCATGAGTGAATATTGGAACACAGAAACCAAATTAATTAAAAAACTGTTCATCTGCTCTCATTGTTGCTGGTAGTACATTAAAAAAGGGAAAAAAAACACAAACCAAACCAAACCAAAACAACAAAAACATTGGCTATTTAGAATATATAACAAAAGGAGATACTTTGAAGAACATGTAGACATTAATGAATCAGACTGAGATATTCTTTCCCAGGTGCTTTCTCACAAAGCTTAAGTTATGTGCTATAAGATTTAGCTGCAGCTTTTCTTTGCCTGGGTGTGCATGGTGATGTATTATTTGATTCTACTGCTTTCCTGTACAATCAATTGGGCAGGAGGAGAGAGATGGCTGGGGAGTTTATGAAGTGGTAGTTTTTAGTGGGACCATCTCTTACTTGCCATTCTGCTGTGCAACATGTAGATGAATGAAACTGCTGCTGCAATGCACAAAACGTGCTGAGGAGGCAGAGAAGAAAAGAAGAATGTGAGATTTGATCGGAAGTGGGGAGTAGTTGGGTGATGCACTTTGCTGCAGATATGATTCCTTCACTGCTCCTGTTGCTTTCTCCTCCCTTCACTTCACTTGCTTTAAAGTATTCCATTGTCAACTGTTTCCTCTTTTCTTGTCTTTGTAATTCCACACTCTCGTTTCCCTCTCCATTTCCTTGGTTCCTATTTAAGTCTTGTCTCAACCTTATTTCCTTCCACCTGCTAAAACACCTATACAGACAAAAGGTCAGTCCCTGCAGCTTTATGTGTTGAGTGTGGCACCATGCCACATGCTGTTGGAAAGAGGTTGCCTGAAAGATGCAGTTGTGAACTGAAACCCCTATCATCTGATGCTGCCCACATATCATCACAGTAAAAGCAGTAGGCAGCATCACAGTTAAATAATGTCCATTCTCTGCCTTATTGGTGCACTGGTGGTGTAAATGAAGTCTGCAGATGCTTTGGTTAAAAACAAAAATATCTACACAGGTACAACTCTGGGTTTTGCAGCTGTAGGGTAACCTTTGCAATAGTCCTCACAGGAGGCAAATTTACCCAAGCAACAAGGTTGTGTTCCCTTCACACACACACACACACACACACACACACTAGCACTTTGCTATAAATCAGATAATAGAGGAACAATGACATCAATTTGCAGTCCCATCTCATGCAATGTAGCACTATTGGCATCAAAACTTGTGCATATTTTCTTGAAAAGAAGAATAAACAAAATCTGATATCATCAGAATGTCAGCCTTCTGTGATTATCTGGTGTATAATAAGATCTGAGTTCCTGCCCAAAGTTTTTTCTACAGGTAGCACAATAAGAAAAAAGTGTTTCTGTGGGGATTCTCTGGAGTCTAATACAGAGTGGGCTCATGATGCAGTGCTTCCCTCAATGGCTACAGCAATGTTTTCTTTTGAAGACTAAAGAGAAAGGCATTGATGTCGTGAAGCATAGATACCCTCTATTCAAAGATCTCGCTCTTGCCTCTCCTTGTTCTAAGTAGCACCTAGTTTCTCAGACTATTGGAAATGGGACATAGGACTTTTTGTGATTCTAAAGACTTCAGAATCAGGAAAACATGCTTCTAATACATATGCAAAAGTCTTTAAATACTGCTTGATTTTCTCATGGTTTATGCAATAGAGAACCCCATGCAATCAGCAGAGTATGGCTCAGAGAGGTGCTTAAGTTTTTGAACAGAAGAGAGGAACTAGTATTTAGAATACTGATGTCCCAGGTTCCCCATTCGCTCTGGAGAAGAAATGCAAAAGGAGCATTAAATCATGCAGGACTTTTAAACATTCTTCTCTCCTTCCTACATGACAGCAGAAATTAAGATGTTCAGTTCTCTAGGTGTTATTAGCACCTTCAGAGTCATGCTTAGGGCTGCAGGCACTGGAAAGCAGAACAGTGGCATATTCCCAGCAACACCACAGAAAGAATGGAATCAATTTTCTTGAACAAAGACAAGGATCCTTCAGCTCTGAGTCACGCATCATGAATTTCTGAAGTGTCACATGGAGATGGAGAGAGTGAGTGTTATGCTGGGACTTGAAAAATGCTTGTTGACTCTTTTCTTAAAGAGAGACAGTTTTAAGCTTAAGCTCTTTAAGAAACATGGCACAGGGAGATTGTTCTGACAGGTCTGTGCCATATGGAAGACAGAGATCACTGCTTTCATAATATGGGGCAAAGCCTCATCAATAGTACAGGATAAGGTCAATATAGCTGTTACCAAAGTTCATCCTATTTAGCATGCCGAGATAAAACTTTTTAGAATCACTCACTGATCCATGACTCTGAAAGGTATGGAAGATGAGCAAGGAACACTCAGAGAAGTTTATATTGCTATGAGAGCTCCAGAGGGGGCGTTTAATATATCCATGGTCTAAAATGGCACTAAGCAACCCAAATGCTGTTGTAAGGGACTGGGTCGCTGGCTAATTTGTCACCATACATCCAGGCTCCTGACCCATCCTGTTCAGTGACAATAACGCCCCAGCCTAAGAGTGGATTTATACCCTTAGCAGTTATATTTTATCTGTGCAATGGCATTAGTTGTGAGACTTATGTTGTTCCCCAGATCCCTATTTGAGCTGCTTCCCAGCTTTAAAAGCAAATGATTTAAACTTACAATATGTAAGTATTGTAAGTTACAGTATGCAATAAGATACTGAGTAGTTTCATATGGGTATGGATCACAACAGTTATTGAAGCCTTGTATATTTTGGAAGTATGCAAGCAAGTAGACTGTGGCAGCTGACACGCACCTAAGAAAGTGCTTCAGCTTTGTTAAAAGAGAAGGAGGGAGAGTCCACCGGGGCCAGCTCCTTCTTCACTCACAGAAGGAAATCAGCAAGTTTCAACCCCTGGCAAAGTCCCAGCATGAGGACAAAACCAACCCAAGGAGCTGAAGCACCTCACATCCAGAACCATGTCATGCTGCAGTCTTAGCAATACGGGGCTGCACACTGTGATCATTAGCAAGAAACTCAAGGAGTGAGCGGAGATTCTGATTTTCAGTACCACTGTGCCTCTGTGTATTTAGATGTAGAGGTCTAGTTTTAGTCAATCTCTATTGAAGGTGTGTAAAATAAAATAGAATATATTAGCAGGAAATATTTTAGGTAAGGAATCAGTTCTTTCACACAGGTAAAAGGCTTAGACTAAGGGAGGTGCCAGGACACAAACTGTACAAGACATGTCACGCTTGTAGTGAAGTCTCTTTTACACATCACACCAAGTAGAGAGAAAGTAGAAAAATTAGGATTTGTCACTGAAAAGGATCTTTCAAAAGGCATCTAAAAAACGTATTGCTCAGACTGAAAAATTGTTCAGATAATTAGGGTTAATATAGTTACTTCTTGATTAAGAATAGTTGTTGTAATATGAGGCTGTTAAGTTTTACATGTCTAGGAAAAAGTGACATTCCTGGTGGTTTTATAGCCATCACTACCTCCTTCCTGAATCAAGGAGGAAGAAGATCTGCCTGCTGAACCTCCTGTGTCACTCATAGTATTAATATAATTCACACTTGCATAGCCTGTGAGATCTCATGCATCACACTTTACAAATGAACTTTACTATAGTGACAGTTTTATACTTTGAGCTGAATACTGTATTGCAGGTATAAAGCACCAGCCGTGCTAGTCCGAATACACCGAGTGGCCTAGTGGTCCCCAGTTTCAGCAGAACATCAATCAGCAGAGTGCAAGTGCACAGCAAGGAACCTAATGCATTTTCATACTGTTTATACAGAGCAGGAACACTGCAGGCTCATAGGCTCTGAAAAAGCAAAGTAGAATTCTGTGTTCCTGAGAAGTACAAATTAATCCATTGAAGAACTACTGCAATGGGAAATACTACAATACTGCACCGAGTTGCCTACCTTGGTGAGTAACTTCTTTCTCATGTTGTTGCAGTTCTCATTTGCTGCAGCTTTGGACTGGACCATGCTGGTGATCACCCGCGGAGGATCAGGTGGGCTGTCTTCTGTCTCTGATGTGCATGGCAGTTGTGTTCTAGGACAGCAGTCAAAATCCCCTTGACCCCAGCTGGTAGAGATCTCAAAGGAATCAGGGCATTTCTCATCAGGACTTGACCCATCGTCACTGTTTTTGGCATTGCAAAGTATGAGCGATCTTGAAATGGAGCGAAACTTTCTTGACTTCCTGTTCCCAGCATTGTTCTTTCGATCCATCTTCAGAGAGCTGGTGGTGCTGCTCTTTTTCCAGTCATTCTCCCATTTATGCGGCATGATCTTTCAATAACTTTCTCTGATTTTCTGGTGCTAGATATCCTCCAGGAAAGGAAATATAGAAAGTAAGTTGTAATAGACCCCACTTTCTCCCACTTAATAACCTATACTACTGAAAAGCCCTAATGAATAAATCGAATCAACAGAGCCTTTCAGTCTGCTAACAGCCACGTGATATCTCATGACTTGCTAATTCTGTTTCTGTGCAGCGCTCTACTAAATTCTCCTTCACCTTTTCATTCTCTTCCCGTGCTCCCCAAGCACAATGGAGTGCTTTTAATAAATGTTTTTGTTGCTTACGTTGTGCTGCTTCCTTTGGGCTTCTGTTGAATTTGCATGTTGAAATCCCAAATTGAAAAGGAAGATACTTTAAAAGCCTTTTTGTATCCTCCTAACATTATTTGGATAGAGGAAGCTCCTTCTGAAGTTTGATTCATGAAACCACTATAATTCAAAGAAGATTAATCAAATTGCGGAGGTTAAGTTCTCCTCCTGGCACGTCTGATTTGTAAGTGGTTTAGCAAAAGTAGATCTTAGCCGTGAGAGAGTGAGGAATGTCAGGCTGCTATAAAACTCCTACCTTTGTAGACCAGAACTCACATAAGACGCGCATCTAATAGCAACAGAGAGATCCAGGGAAGCACTTAAGATGTGAATATCTGATTAGGGATTGAACTGTATAAAGGAATACAGCTCCAATGCACAAATCAAAAAGTGTCCCATACAGAAATGGCTTGTTTCAGCGTATGATTCAGCATACAAAATGAAGACAAAATGGAAGAAATGTTATACAATCAAAGTGTGGCAAAAGTCAGAGCTTTTATAAAGTGAGTAAAGTAATGAGCATGTTATGATAATGAAGGGGAGCTTTGTTAAACTGTTTATTTTTTCTCTCAGAAAAATATTATGGTAGGTGTATGTCAGTGCTGAAAATTCCAAGAGAGGAAGTCTAAATTAATTACTTCTACTTTCTCAGTTAATTTTTATTATTACACAAACGTTTCTGTTCTCTTAACAGTACCTAGTTAATACTGTATGTTGCTATTCTAGAGAAAATACCTACTGAAACCAGAGTCGCATAAATCAAAGATGCTGTAGAAGTTATAAACAAAATTGAAACTCAATGTAATTCGAAAAGCACTTTTCAATTATGTGATTGAGAGAGAAAGTTTGTACATTGTGCTCTAAATTGGTTTTTTTGTGTTTGTTTTGTTTTCCTGGTTCTACGCAGAATTAGGTAGGTACGTATGCATTTAGTACTTGAAATGCCACTGATAGAGAAATAGAAGGTGGCAGGTTTACTAAAGGCTCCTTACAGTCACAATAAACACAAGCCAGTAAGTTCTGATCAAGCTAGATTCATATAATAAATTCAAGCTAGCCTTATAATTAATCTGTAGGATTATTTTTCTTTTTTTTCCCTCTCTCATACAAATAATCACGAAAAATGAAAACAGATTATAATAATGTATAACAGTATAATAATGGCCTTATTATACAGGCCATTGAGTACCTGTCTAAAAGAGCTATATGTCATTGCTGGAGAAATACACAATTTAGCATGTAGATTTTTCAGGAGCAGCAAAGAGGTCACTTCTTCTCCCAGGGAGAAGGATGTTTATCTGTGCAGTCCTTTCTGACATTTTTGATAGGTGGTGCTCCTACAGACTTCTACTCTGACCCCTCTGAACAGGAACGTTACAATCAAAGTCCCTGGGCTCCCAGCTTCACCTACACTGACAAGAGGGAAGCTTTCAAGGTCAAATTGAATGAGCATATTATCTATTCAGTAGATATATAGTATATAATAGTATATATAGTATATATCTATTATCTATCTCCTTCAGTACACAGACTCTTCTAATTTTCTTTTTTTCAGAGTAACCTCTCTTCTTATGAATAACGAGATTTGCAACCATGGCTGAATGCAGCCACGGTGTGGATGGAGGACTGCCCAGCAGCACAGCCACTCTCCCTTCCTGTGACACAGAGCACACATTGAATGAAAGGACATCGAAGCCTATGTGTAAGGACACAGCAGCCAGAGGAGATGGGGAAAGGTATGGCATAAATGGAGCTCAGCTTTAACACATAGACTTTGTGATTGAGATGGGGTCTTATTTCTACAGGATTAATCTCCTTTCCTGTACTATTGAGAGAAGCTACTTTACAGAACCTCTATGTGATCATTTATTTTGAAGTACAGAGATGTAAAGTGCTATGAATTATAATAAAACAATAATTATGAGAACTGAAATAATTTGTTGGTGGTGATGTAATTCAGCATCACAAGTTTATGATTTTTTGTATGCTTTTTTGTTGATTACATTAGTTAAAAACTGACTGACGCTTATCCTTGCTAATAAGTAAAGACTTTCAAGGTTTGAAGATTTTGATGATTTGTTTTAAGAAAGCCACTTTCTGGTGTTTTTGTAAGCCTAAACTTTAGTCTACCATAAAATATGTGTACCTCATTGCAATCTTTGAGTTAGGAAATCCCTGTCAGTGTTCCCAGTGTATTAGAAAATTAACCTTTGAAAGCTTGATTATGCTTTTTCTGTATATCTGGAGGTAAAAATGCAATCTGGCCCATTAAACCAGAATGTGGAGTTGTAAAAGCAATAGGACATCTGGGATGAGGGAGCTTTTTTAAGTATCTCCTCTCAGCACCTGGGTAGGAAGCAGCAGAGGTAACTTGCTGAAGGGGTGTGTAATGCACATCACTTGAAAGTCTGCCACGGGGATTTTTGCTCCTTCTGTGATTCTGGCAATTGCTGTAAGACACTAGCAATAAGAATGTCAGAAATGAACCCAAGTTGCACATTCAGACCTAAATTGACTTGCCTATGGGGGAAAATTAGAAGAAATAGCACTTTTCATTCAAGGATTTTGATGTTGTACAAACATTAACTGCACTTTTACTTCCCCAAAGAGAAAGAATTAAAAAAAGAGCTATTAAGAATATGAGTAAGCTGAGGACTTGATAGCTTAATGGTCAAAATACAGCTCTCTGGAGACTGGCATGTTAGAAGGAAGGATGGAGAGATGCAGGAGCCCTTTCTTGCTCTGCCTGAAGCTGCTGGGCTTAAGAGGGAGCACTGACATCAGTACTAAATGCTCCAAGAGGTGCTTCTTTGACTATGCTAAGCATCTGGGATGCAGGGAACACACAGAAGCACCTGTTGAAGCAGTGAAGGAAACATTGTTTTAAGAGCATCCTGCCTTCCCACCCCCCTGCAATGCTTCTGAGAAATTTTACCTTATGCAGGGAGAATATCTCTTTTGCCCTGCTGCATCAGCTATTTCCTCCTCCCTCACCCCCAGCCATGCTCCATCAGCTCAAAGACCAAATTTAACCCTGAATGACTTACCCAGTATCTCAAAGCAAGCCAGTGGCTGAGGTGAAAATAAACCCAGTAGTCCTGAAGACTTCCAGTTAAATTCTTGCTCTAAGTAATTAGATCACAGCCCAAGGCACAACTAAGGCAACATTCTTTCCAGAGATGCTGATTCAGGGTTGCATAAGTGACAGAAATATAGGAGGTACGTAGTCTGTAAGTTTTCCAATAGAGATATCCAGAAATGTTATTTTACACGGAAAACAATATCACAAGTGCCAGAGAAGCTTTGTGATTCATTGCCATCTTCCACCAAATTTAATTCAAGGTATTGCTGGCATGGACAATTACTTCAAAGTCAATTCTTCAAACCATTCATCTTTTCCTCCAGTGCATTCACTGCTTGTCATTTTCTCTTGCCATTCTTATACCTCCAGCATGCCTGATGGAAGTTGTCTGTGGTTTGTAATGCAAACCAAATGTTCTTTCTCTGTTTCTTTTTTTTTTTCCCCCAAGCTTTATTTTTCCTGCTTTAAGTCTAAAAAGCCCTAACTCAGTCTGTCTTCTGCAAGCAAAATACATGATTTGAGCTCTGCCCATTTGGTTCAAATTTTTGGTTGGATATTAAACCGAGCATTTACAAGATGCAAATAATTTGGTGTAGCTCCCAGATTGAATGCGAGTGCTCTGCTGTTAACCAGACAGTAGGAAAGAAAGAACTTTACTGGCAAGAACAAGATAAGTTTTACATTACCAAGTGCTAACAGCATGATATTTTGCATCCCATTTTAATCTAGATCTTGTGATCTTTGTCAGATTCACTACCGAGCAGTACTATTAGCACTGAACTATTGCAGATGTCTAGAATTTCCAGGCAGTAGGAAGTGCTAGAGATTTGGAAGTTTTCTAATAAAGAGTAAGAAACTCCTGGAGAGATGAATGTACTCTTAAAAAAAATAAAAAATTAAAAATCCCTAATTGTAAAATAAAAATTCAAAAGGAGGAACTTACAACAGCGAGACAGACAAACCTGACTCCTGCAGAAGGCTGTTCCTCTTCATAGGCCTGGCAAAAAAAGACAGAGTGAATAATTGAAAACACACTCTCACGGTGTCACGTGGCTCGGTTTCAGTAATTCTGCTCAGCACATTGGAACGGAGCTATTGTTTCCTAATTGAAGAAAATGTCAGCAAGGATAGATAAACAAAAGCAATGGGTTGCAGTATTGGGGAAACGGTTTCCAGCAGGCTCCCAGCTACTCAGAGAAGGCAAGACCTTTTAAGGAGTTTGTCATTTGTTTTTACCCATTGCTCTCTGGTCCTAGGATTGATGGGGTTCAGGCATATTAAACCTACTTGGAGGGAGGCGAGGGGGACCAGCCAGAACCTGTGCTAATCAAGTGCAGGATTTCCTACTGGAGGCTGAGATGGCAAGCATGTTTCTCATAATTTTTAGCAGATATTTTAAACATTAAGCTAGTAAGAGCTCCGTAAGCCATTTCTGCTCCAGGAACAAAACATAACAGGAGCCACTTTTGAGTGCCAAGCCCCTGTATTGTGCACCATGAAGTGGCGTGGTCTCTTTAACCTACCAGTTCTTAAATGCTCTTCCCTTTATGGGCTAGACTGCAACTTTGTGATCCAGACTGATCAAGGACTCAGAAAACTGTTGCTTTTTCTACATAGCATCCAGGAAGTGAGAACTATGCAATGGATTACCATTGTGGCTTTCATTTCCTACAAAGTAAATGGCTCACGGTCTATTCTACTGTTGTGGTGACTCAGCCCATGAAACTGCTGGAGTGGCATCTCCCATTAATTGTGGGAGCAGGCAGCCACCTTTCTGCCATGTCCCTAGACACACTTGGCTGTTTCTCATCAATCAAACAGATGAATGTGTCAGTCCTCACCTGTCAATCCTCAGTGCTGCTCACACTGACAAATAAGTGTCTTGCTGCAGAAACCTCCTTTCTCTTGATGAATTTGTGTGATAGGATACATAGGGAGTTTGTAAATTGAAAAAAAAGTTCTGCAACAGAAAGAATTGTCTCTGAAGCAGTTCATGTTAGATTATTGGAATAGTCAGGCCTCTTTGGAATGTTCTATAAGTACTATACTTTCCAGGAAAATGTAAACAGATGCCTGAATTTTATACCTGACCCTATCTGATCATGGAAATGGTCAACAAGAGAGTGCTTAGGCACCTGCTGCCCTCTCTATTCTGTGGCTCAGAGGCCCTGGTTTTATTGGTCTGTTACTGAACTTGCAAATGAGAGAAATTACAAAATAAATTTAAAATATTGCACTGATGTGGTCTCGTGTTTAGTGGTCCTGTGACCTCTAGATAAAACATGGACTGTGAAGACAAGCATCTACCCCATGAGAATGATGTACATACTGGGCAAAATGAAGATGAAATCTCTGCTCTGCACAGTGTCTACAGGAGCCCCAAAAACTCTGTCCCTGAGAATACAATCATGGCTAATTTATATTTTAAGTGCTTACAAAAAGAACATAGTTTTACATTATTTTCCCAACAATTAAGTTGTCAGAATATTAGTTCCCTGAAGGAAATTGGTTGTAAAGGAAATTATTTTAACCTGTATCACTGGATGACAATAGACATGGAATATTACCCAATACTTTTAAATTCTAATCTTGTAGAAGAACAATGATTTGACACTGAGTGAAATACAGTTATCAGGTAGCTTTCTGGAAAGGAGGCGAAATAGGGAACTGATTTTGTGTTTAAGGAAACAGTTCCTCACTTTATTTGAGCAGAGAGGATAGTGGCTTTGTACATAAAATGGGGTTTTATAGTGCTAGTACTGTAAAAATGAAATATCAGTGGGGAAGCAAAATCACATACTGTTTACCACTTAACTGTCTTACACTGTAACACACACATGTTTTTGTTTAGCAATAGAGAACTCATTCACACAAAAATCTCAACAGTCCCTGAGTTTTGATCCAAACCGATTGAGCTGGAAGCTCAAAAGCATTGGAAAGCTTTTTTTATTTCTTCCCATTGTCGCATGCTATTGCATGGGCTGAATACTGTAGTCCCTAAGCTGCTGGGAGTTTTGTTCATTCAGAATCTGGACTACTGCCAGGGCCAGCAGCAGAAACATAAATATCACAAGGAGGGGCTGTTTTTTCATCTTGTTTCACTCTAACCTTTTGCAGTTTTTTCCATCTTCTCTGTACAGTAATTGTTCAGTGCCCAGTGGTGAACAGAAAAGCACATTTTTAGAATCCATAAGAAAAAGGAGAGAGAGAGAGAACCTCTGCTGCGCCTGCCTTGTTGCACTAATGGTATGCTTTGATATTGGATACTGTGGTCAATCTTCATTACTTAGCTCAGAGGTATTGTACCAGGAAAAGGGCTAATCAGAGGCTGGAATTTTGTATTAAAGATTGAAATTATGTGGACACTCCTTTGCAGAAAGGAGCTGCGTTGATAAAGGTTTATGAGCTAATAGGTACTATAAGGAAAATCAGCTGGGTTTCTTTACTGCCTTCTCATGTGAGGGGCAGGAAAAGAAGAATGCAGTAAAATGAAGAGAGTTCAAACAAATAAAAGGAAATGCTTGAAACCTAAAGCACAATTAATGTGTGGAACAAGAAGACAGCAGAAACCATGAGTACTTTGAAGTTAGCTGTTTTGCCTTTGGTTTCAGTGGGACAGAGATTTCACCTCAAGAGGTAAGCTGGTGAAAATATCTGCAGTTAAAACCTGTAGAAGAGGCAGCAACTCTTGCTTCAGAATGAAAGTTAAACATTCATATTTCTGCCCAGGGATAGGGTCCTTGTTACCAAAAAGTGGAGGAACTTTTCTGATGTCTGGAGTTAGTGTCTACTGGAGGTGGGAAAAGGAAATAGAGGAGCCATTGAATTTATTTTGTTATGACAGTTCTTCTCTTTTGCCTGACTAAAATCAGAATGTGTCTGGAACCACAGCAGATACAGGAGCCGATCCCTCCTTTCCCAAAATTATTTTCCGTATCCAAAGGTTTGGATTCTAGAGGACAAATATGCAGACTATTCAATACTAAATATTTTGCCTGTTGCTACTGGTGATAATCTTTTCCAAAAAGTAACTTATAAATTTAAACAGAACATTAGTACTGGGCAACGCAAGTCTAAGTAGTGATGGAACTTAGGTCCTGATCTCCACCCAGCTCCAAATCCTGCTCCTGTTAGTAGGAAAGAAAGCCAATAATCTGGAGTGTTCTATTTTTTGTCCTGTCCTTACATTGCTCAGCAAACCGATGAAGTACTTTTGCTTCAAACACAGTCACAATTTTGCCATATTCCAGACACCAGTTATGTTGCACAGGACAATCCATCCCCTCATTGCTGCTAAGCCAGGACTGGATTAGTCATCTCTGTCTTGGATTTCACAACTTTTGCTCTGCCCTGCCATCCGTCAAAACATAGCAACATGGCATGTTGAGTCACCCTATAAGCACAGTTAATCCAGCACCCTTCTCCAGCAATGGCTAACAGCAATTACTTCAAAGGTATTACCTTGTAAAAAAATTGTATCAAGAGCGAGCTTGCTTTCAGGAGGAGTTTTTTCTGAGTGCCCTATTTGTAAGAATAGGCTGGTGCTCTGAGGTTTTGTATGTATTCCAAAATTGCTGAAGATTCTTACATTATGATTGGATAGTCTTGTTTTAGCAGAAGGTACAGCTGCCCCATCATGGATAAGCATTGTATTATGTCAAATTAGGTAAATCTCTTTCTAATTCCTTTCGTCACTTAGTACTTAACTTTTGCCAAAGCACAAAGAATTATTTTTTTTTTCTTCTACAGATGAAATGATTCCTGTGTAATGCAACTATAATTTATCCATTTCTGGCTTCCATTAAGCTTTTGATTTCAAAAGTATCCAGAGGCAATGAGTTTCATGTGTTACATAAAAATGTACTTCCTTGTGATTGTTTTAAATTCACTGCCTCTAAGATTTGTTCAGTTCTTGTACTAGGAAAAATATCCTGATCTTCAAGTCTCTGTAGAATCCTTTTCTCATTGATCTCTGTACTGATGTCATCCTCTGTCCTACATACTTTTATCTTTTCTTCTTCTGCCCCTCCTTTCTCTCAGCTCCATGCTGCTTTCATATGCTTGGATCACCTCCTTTTCCTTCAGATCTTTCTTTTAAAATTCCACTTCCTTTTGTGAACTTTATTACCTGACTCTTTCATATTTGTATCCAGCTCTGCAGCCTTCTAGAGTGTTTTCCAGTGAATTGCCTACCTGTGAGTTAATAAAAGTTCCTAGACCTTGTCTTCCCAAATACATTTGTGTTTCATGACATGCACTCACACTCTGTGTGACTACTAAACTAATCCTGGTGTTCTTACTTGTTGCAGTGTCTTGAAGGTAAGGTGTAAAATATTGCTTATATAGTTCCATGGAAGAGGGTCTAATAATAAGTGTACACCATCAAAAAGTACTTTTACCTCGTGTTGGGAACATATCCTGGAAATCTATGAAGAAAAAACAGTAAGCTATAGAAACAGTAGCTCAGGTGATCTACATAAGTACTGTATTAAGAGCATATGATTGAAAAATTACTATCGGTGTAGGGAGCATTGACTGCAGCCATGGTGTGGTATATGAGGCATAGCAAGAATGGGGCCCTTTTAACAAAGTGTTGTGGCTTGTGTTTGTTATTTTAATATGTCCGTACCAGGTATGACTGCATGTAAGTGATTATGTTGGGCTTAGAGAAACACTACAGAATGCCTGTGTCAGCTATGAAGTTGCTAAATATCTGGTACTGAAGAAAAGGTCCATCATTTTTTTTTAAAGTCATTGACCAATACACAGTTTATAACTTACCACAGCACTGAAGTAGTAAAAATATTTTGAGCTCCCCTGTATGGTGTCATTCTAATTTAAAACAAATATTTTTAAAAGTTATGACTCTACCTCTTCTTTCCACATTTCCAGTCACATAATGTTCCTTTTTCATCTGACTTTGCATTCCTTTTGATTTATATTCCCCTGAACTGCAGGCTGACAGAAGGGGCCTCTTAGGTTGAATGAAAGGA